CAGGAGGCACAGGCTCTCTGGGCTTCCCCAACAGGAACTGCCACTTCAGAGACCATTCTCAGACAGAGGTTTCTGTGTTTGAATTTAACCACTGGAATTTGCTCCTCAGGTTGTGCAGAACCCAAAATAAGTAAGTAGAATGACTTTTGGATTGTTTTCAGTACTGTAATAATGATTTCCGTTATTTATCAGCTGACTCTGTTGCAGCCTCTGAGATGTCCCTACCCTGTTTACTGCTGGCCCAGGCCAGGGAGTCATTACAGTGTTTAAGGGAAAACCCTTCTCTAAAAACCTTGTGCTGTCTTGTTTCTGTGTTGGTGAAAACTTATGGTTGTCTTTGTCCAATGAAATTTTGCCTGAGAGAAAAACTTGAATACCAGTTCCATAGAGAAATCAGCTCCTTTAGACGGTCCTTGAGACCATGAGCTCTGATGGAGATAGCAGCTCAACTTCCCCTTCATTTTCCTGGTGTGTTTTCTTCTTACCTGGGAGTATTGTGTACCTATAGTCTGATTTTTTTCCCCTTATCTGATGTGTTTGGGAAAGGGACTTGACTGTGCTACAGGACATGAAGTACATAGTAAGCTTTGGAAACACATCTGAGAGTTCAGGTAGCTCTGCTTTTGAATAGATGGACTTGTGACATTTTAAAATGCTCTACTTTTGAATTGTTAACTATTTCTGAATGCCATCCTTATTTGTCTAATGTGGTCTGCAGGATCTTTATGCTCACATAAGAATCTTTGAACTAAGGAAACATTTAGGCAAATGCTGATTTCCTAATCTCTTTGGGGTTTTGTCTTTGCTTGTAGGGGGATGAACTCTAAGGAGGTAAATTTTAACTTCTGCCCAATGGCCTAGGGAAGCAGATCTCAGTTCCAGCAGCAATTTGTCAGTTCATTAAGAGATGCAGTATCCTGGCTTCTTGGGTAATGGTTTTGCTAGGCTCCAAGGAGCAGTGGTAAATCTGATTTCATGGCTACCAGGATATGGCCAGGTCAGATTGGAAACACCCAGGTAGAGAAGCTCAGTCCAGAGAGTGTTTTGAATGGCTGGAGCAAGGCAGAGGCTGCTGTGCTTCTCAGGGTAATTTCATACAAATGTCCAGCATGGAAGCAGAGCTATAGGACTGAAACACTCTTAAAGTTTAAACATCTTGTGTGGGAATTCTGAGGAATTTAGACTTATAGTTAAGGTCACATCTTCACATGTGGATATCTAAAATGCATGGAAATACAGATTTTCATAAGAACTTGGGCTCCTCTGCAGGAATCAAGACTGCAGTATTGCTGTACTTAAGAGGGCTGTTAGGAATAATATGCATTACTTAAGCTCCATAAATGGAAATTATGGTGCAATGAAACACAGTTCTATAAATCTCAGATGTGTATTTGTTTTGTCTTAGGGATTTCTAGGTGGGCTTTGTCCACACTGTCCATCAACATATAACCTTTTCTCTGTGGCCTCACTCAACTCTCCCCTCTACCTTATTTACCTTAGTTCACCCAGAACTCCAGTCTAGAAGGAGGAAGAATCCCAGGGATGTAGATACACAAGATACAGCAGTGCCTAAATGGCCTTTTGTTGCAAGTTCCTCCTGCCTGTGCTGGGACACAGCCCTGTCTGAAAGCCGTGCAGCTGCAGGGCAGCCTGGAATGTCAGCAGAGCAGCTCAGCCTGCTGCTACAAACCAGAGCAGATGTAGCCACCCCAAGTACAGGAGTGCCCAAAAACCAGGTGGTCAAATATCAGTGATCTGATTGAGTTATTTAGATGGATCACAGGATCAGGATTCAGTAAGTTTGTGAGTTTGTGTAGGAAATGTTTCCCAATTGTTTCTGAGTGGAGTTGAGGGTGTAGGAAGGCTCACCATGCAATAAGGTGGAACTTACCTCGAAGGTGAGTGTGTAGGGGAAGAACAAATTTGGGCAGTTATATTTTTTTGGCCTGTTTGCTATCAGATGCCAAGATACAACTTCAAATGATGAGTCTCGTGTGAGACACAAGCAGAAAACAGATTACCATCATCTTGATCTAAATCAACTTTCTTTTTCCTCACTTTTTCTTAAATGCACTTACTGTTTCATGGGTAACAGTGAACAATTTTTACTCTCAACTCTCTGCCCATGAATTCCAAGCAACTGGAGACGCAGATTTCTCACCTAGCCCTCACCACCTAACCATGGTGTTTCTCAGTCAAGTGTGTTATTCTCAATATTTCCTTTCTGACTGTGATTTTTATTTTGTGAGGTAATTTCAAAGTACTGGAAGACTTTGGGGAATGTGAACAATGCTTATGACACAGCCTGGGCTCTGCCCTTTGTGATGCACAGCTGTACCAAATGGTTCATTTTGTTGACTTTGTGTCACAGAGTTTATCTTGAAAGGTTTGTAGTGTTACACAAACATGTGCCTCTTCCTCCCCAGGTATTTTGCAGGATCAGCTCAAAAGAATGGGCTCTATCTGTACCATGCTCGAGTGTGTTTTAAAATCACGGTTAATATTTTAACAGGTGATTGTTTCCTATTCTTTTACATTCTCATCTATCTACAAATAGCATGTTGTAGCCCTCATTAATCAAAATGACACTTTCTACACCCTCAAGTGTTTTCACATTTGCACATGAAGCGTGTTCCCAAAACTGTGCTGCCTGATTGATCTCTGCATTGTGCACTTTTCAGACCTATGTGTCTAAAGCTGCCTGAAAAGATACAAAGCTTAACTTCTAATGTGATTTCTTTAATCTCCTTTTGTAGAATTAGTATTACAAACCATGTAGAAAGTCTTTCCAAGTTCGCTTTTTGCATCAAGCTTGGCACAGGCACAAAGGACCACATCCCATCTTACACTGGGAAACACTGCTGGCTGCCAAAAGAAGTGTGAGGAGACACTGCTGTTTTGGGGAAGGGTGTAAGAGAAATAAGGCTGTTAAAAACTGAGGAAAGCAAAACATCCTCCAAGGCTCAGACTTGCCCCACTGACTGTTCAGACATGGCTCATTCCAGGGCTCCTCTTCCCACTGAGTGCCACAGAACAGACATTAGCTGGTGGTCACATCCAAGAGGAGGGTTTACATTCACTAACTTTGCTGCTAAGAGCACAGATGACTACTCATGTCCATGTATGTATATATAAACCAGACAAAGACTGCCTGAGGGAATGGGAAATGGCAGAAAGCCTTTCCTAGGCATAAAGAACTGTGGAGCAGATAGAAAACTCCCATTCATCGTGTGCTTTCTATTTACTGTACATCCCAAAGGCTGTGGGGATGGGTCTGTGTGCGGGGCCTGGAGAGAAACTGGAGTTTAATACTCTTCAAAAGATTTCATTTGGGTTCAGGAGTGTCTGACCCCTGGAGGCACCACTAGGTCCCCACAGAAGGGGTGCTGCCATTGTCTGACACTTTTTCTGCCCACATGGCATGTGTGAAACACAGCCAGTTTTACAGCAGCTCATATGGAGGATTTATTGACTGAAGACTCTCAAAGAATTTGCAGAATTTCCTTTCAATTTTTTTTATGGTCTGAACATGGATATTTCTCTTGTCTGGCTCAGTTTTTTCATAAAAGCCTGTCTGAACATTTTAGTAAAAGAAATAAAAATACTATAGAAATAAGTATCAGCATGAAAGGGGGTGGGGGGAAATTTTGCCTCTCCATTGCCAGAAGTATAGAGTGTAGGTAGGACAGCAGAATTTGAGAAAAAATACTAATCAGTAAGGTTTTCCTCACCTTTCTCAATTTTTAGTTTCTTGTCCTAGAAAAGAGTTATTTTATGTCACCATTCTGATCTAAGGTCTCTAAGAGAAGATAATCTAGTTTAGGGGTGAGAAGTGCACAGTTTGAGCAGAAGCAGCATGTAATGTAACACTTCTTGTCTTGAGTGTGGACACAAGTACTGCATACATGAGAGAATACATGTGTGTCAACCTATGTTGGGGGCAGAGGGGAGGGAGGGTGATTTAGACCGAGCTTATTAGGGTTAGAAACCGCAGCTTTCCAGGTTGTTATTTACTGATATTAACGAGCAGCGATTGAAACACTTGCCTTATGACTGTTTTGTAACTTGCACTGGTTTGACAGGACTTGCCTTGCCTGTAGCCTTCTAGAAGACGTGAACCTAAGAGTGTGGGGTTGGTTTTGGCAGCCAAAAGTATAATTAGAGTTTCACCCGCATGTATCTGGCTTACAGAGCCCGCATAATGCAAACCTCCGTCTCCTGCCGGCAGCCCCAAGGACGCGTGTGCGGAGTTTTCACGTCGGTGCCCGATGCGCGGCACTGATCCCGCCCGGCTGCGGCTCCGGCCCGGCTGTGCCCCGCGCACCATGGGCCGCCCGCAGGGACTCGCTGGCCGGACTTCGGGCGCCTCCCTGTTGCTTCCCCTTGGAAGCGCACGCCGGAAGATGCTGCTGCGCTTTGCCGGAGGTGCGAAGCCGCTCGCTGTGGCCCATAGGGCGGCGGCCAGACGCCGTGCTGAGAAAGTTTCCCGGTGCCCGAGGGCGACTTTGACGCGTGAGCGGCGGGGGCTGCCGGGCCGGCCCGGGGCGTTCCGGCTGCGCTCTGCGGGCGCCGGAGCCGCGTCCGCGGGGGCCGGGCCGGGCCGGGCCGGGGGGAAGGGGCGTTGCCATCTGCTGTTAATTCCGCGGTCATTGGATTAGTAACAGCGGTGATGAGATCAGCGGGATCGGCTTTCGCGAGGGGGCACGGCGCTCCCCAGCTGTGCCGGCTCTCGCATGAGGCGGCGGCGGGCGGCGCAGGGGGAGGCAGCGCGCACAAAGCCCGGTAGCCGCCGCAGGCCGCCGCCCCCGGGCAGGGCTCCCGGGCGGCCCGGCCGCCCCGAGCCCGGCAGCGCCCGCGGGCCCCCGGGCGCGGCGCCCGCCCCGCTCCGAGCCGCGGCTCCCCCGGCTCCTGTCGCCTCCCCGGGCAGCCGCAGGCAGCGGGAGCAGCCTCTGCTGGGCGGGCGCTCCGGGCGGGGGGCACGGGCTCCGAGCGTGCGAGCTCGGCCACGGCGGCTCCCGAGTTTGTTTACTTGTGCTTCGCCTCTCGTCGCCGGTGTCTGCTCTCTGCCGGCATAGCGGATCGGTGCCGGTGCCCTGCCGGGGGTTTATGGTAAGTTTGCGATGGGCGAAGCCCTCAATTCGTGGGATTTCGCTGGTTTATTGCACAGTATGTAAAGACGCGTTTGTGAGGGGATTTCGTGTTTGTTTTTAGTAGTGCAAGGTTTCAAGCTGGTGTTCGAAGAAATACATTTGAAAACCGTTTTCCGCTTTATAATGAAGTGGTTTGCAACATAAATTAGTTTCTTGAGCTACGTAAGAGAATTATTTCTAGATTTTGGATGACTAGAGATCTACGTTTCTCATAAACTGACTGTATCTGACTTTGCGCTGCCGGACGCAAACCCTTTCGCCTCACGATTGCCACAAGCTAATGCTTTACAGTGGTTACTTGGTGCTTTTCGGGCAGTAAAAGCCAGACTTCAGTTCAGTTGTTTAGACAAATCTGAAATATTAAATTATGTTCTCCTTAAGAATATGAGGGAAGCTGAACCCTCGCCTGAATTTGTATGCGAGACTTGAGTTTCAACAAAGGAAGGTATTGAGTGAATGTGCCCTGGCGTTACTGTAGGCGCTCGGAGCCCGGCGGTGGCTTTGCTGTGGCTGCTGTGAAGCTGTTCCTGCCCAGGCACCCAGGGCAGAGCGGCTGAGCGCTGCCCCCGCCGCCCCATTCCTTCCCGGAGGGGCTCCGGCGTTGGTGTGGCAGCGTCCGTGCTGGCAGCAAGTCATTCGTGTTTCTTTGTGCCTGGGACTTGGAGTGCAGACTGCTACAGGGAGGAAAGTGTCCTATATAGAGAGATGGCCAGCTACCACTTCAGCTGCTGGTTTGATGCTGGCTGCAGCCCTTCGGTGCTTAAGTCATACCTGATATTTTCACAGTGCTCTGTTTGCCTTCCGGTGACAGAAGCAATCCCTGATAAGATATCTCCACGCTGCAAAAGAGCTTATCAGGAGAAAAAAAAAAGCACTCCCGGAGAGTTGATGCTTGTGGCTGAAACTGGCCTGACTTGTGCGGTGTACCTCGAAGGATGCTACATTTTTAATGTTGTTTCTGTAACTAAAGCAGCCCGTCAGGGACATGAATATCAAATTGCTGTTAGATTATTTGGTGCTGCTGACAGAGAAATGCCAGATACTGTAAGTTCTCCTAACAACAAGCGGAAGTTTTATAACTGGCCTTAGTCATGTAAGTCTGGTTTCCTTGGTAGCTGATGTGCCTCGGTGTCTTGCTGCTGACTCCGGATGTCCTTGGATGACCGTCCTGTGCTTCAGTGACCCTGCCAGGACTGGAGGGAGATTCGGTACTTCCCTGCATCGCCAGGAGAAGACTTCCCAGCGCCGTGCCTTCCTGCGGCCCTCATGTGGGTGTTGCTCTGGAAGTACGCCCTGGTGCTGTTGGGCTCCGGGAGCCCTGGGTTCACTCCCATCCCATCCCATCGGGCTGTTTGTCTTTGTAAATGTCACTGCAGCCAGCTCTGAGGCACCGGGCTTCCTGCTCAACAGGCTCTGGGCTCGGGACTGAGAAAGCAGTGCCACCTTTTTGCAAGGAGCTTTTCAGAGTTGTGAGACTTCTGGGGTTTTTTTTGTAGGGGGGGTTGTTTGGGTTTGTTTGTTTTGGAAAGGTTGTCAATGGTGGGTTTTTTTTGTTTTGGCTTGGATATTTGGGGTTTTTTTAAGAGAAGCATAATGCCCCCCCCATCCCCCAAGAAGTACTTATTAGGTTTCTTGTTTCTTGAAAGATCAGATTTTTCTGATTCTTGGTTTGACCAAATTACACCTATCTTTATGACTTGTGTTTGTGCAGCATGTGAATTTCTGAATGATGGGACATCTCTCCTATGACTCCACAAGCAACAAGTCATGAACTTGTCAGGCTTCATTGTTGCTGTGTAAACTTTTAAAATGGATTTTCCATGTACCAAGAAAATTGAAGGCAGCTATTTTTGTCTCATTTTCCTTCACAATCACTATTTTCCCCTCTTCTGTTTATAGGACGTTGACCTCTTTTTATGGAGAAGGAAAGTAATTTTCACAATGGCACTCAATGACATGTTGTAGGACTCCATGTGATGGTTACTTTGCGTTGGCTTCCTTTAATTGAGACAGCTGGAGAGTTTTCCTGTGAGGAGCTGATTTGCCTACCCATTTGAGACATAGTGACAGCAATTGAGGAAAAAGGCATTACATGATTTTCTGAGATATTATTGTTAAAAATCCTTGGCTAAAGTGATTAGCAGGATTATGCTAGATACTCAACTGTCCCATCCTGGTAATTCTTCATGGCCAAGAAGAGGAGGGTACAAAGAGAGATGCCTTATTCAAATTCTGTAAGCCATGCTGTGTTTTAGCTGTCTGCTCTCTTCAGTGTGCTTGGCTGCTCACTACTGCTGCACTGACATCCTCTGCTCAATTCTTTTTGTGCTGGGGCAACCTCACTTCAGTGTGAGCTTGAGGCTCCTGCAGTGGTAAATCCCAGGTTGAATAATGGTAATGCAGAGTAGCCTTGATACTCACATCTATTTCCTGCATCAGTTAGTGAGGACAAATGCAATGTTCTTAATAGGAGATCCATGTAAAGGAAATCTAGATGTAGTTTCTTCTCAGCGAGTTTCCCAGGACAGAGGGTGGATGTAAATGTTGCTGGACTTCACAAATCCTCTCTGAAGGCTGAGGTGAGACTGATGGTAGAGAGGAGTGGAGGCTGGTACTGCTGGGTGCCCGCCTTCCTGGCACTGCCCAGGAAGCAAAGCTGGGCTCGTGGCTGCAGGGATGAGGGGCTCCATGCTGGCAGAGGATGGATGGATGGATGGATGCCATCAGTCCATCTGAGCTATGTCAATGCCATATGTACCTTGAGGCTAGTGAAGGTGCAGGCCACACACGTTGTCCTGGGAATTTTAAGTATTTATTAAGCCAGAATAGATCCTTTTTCTGTAATGAAGGCGTTGGTTAAACCTGCCCACTGAACAGTTAACCTGTTTTGAAATCAAAACTCTCTGTAAAGTTTCTGTGTTATGGATACATATTTGCCTATAATTCTGGAAGTTGATGTTTTTGGACTGACTGAAATCAACAAGTGCTGTGGGTTGAAACTTGCCCGACCAGACAGCTCCCTCACCCTCTGTGTTTTTAACGGGGTTGTGTACATGTTGGTGAATCTGTGTCACTCTCTGCAGCACACAGCCCTCGGGGGTGACTTGAGGCTGTCTCTGCAACATCCTCTGTTAGCTGACACAGGTTGTGCTGGGGGATAGGATGTCAATGCATCACGTGCTTCCTGGAAGAGCAGTTCATGTCTTCTGACTTCTTCAACTTAACTCAGGCTCAGGTTGTTTGTGGGGGTTGGTTGTTTGCTTTTTGCCTTGAGAAGCTGTGTGTGCATCACTGCCATGGTGCTGGGCCGTGTACTGCCCATGTACTGGAGAGTGCTGCTCCGGAAGGGCTGGAGGCAGCTTCACAGGTAACTTCACTTTGACAAAGAACAGCAGGTGTGTACTTTTGGTGCAGTGTCCAAGCAGCTGTTGCTTGAAGCCAGCACTGCAATATACTTGACATGTGCTCCTCGAGAGTTGAAGTATCTGAGATGGTGGATGCTGTCTGAATCCTGCTTCCAGGTGACCTTTGCAATGATGTCATGAAATGCCTTTTCCTCAGCTGCTTGTACAGCCCTACAGCCCACAGCCATTTAGATTGGATGGTGATAAAGTTAAAAGTTAGTTTTGGATTGTTTTGTTGTGTTTGGAAAGCTGGCAGGATACTCAGCAGCATTCACAGCCCATCAGGGAAAAATCCCTGCCCTGAAGAGATTTTATGGTGCTCCTGTGGCCTTGGTGGCAGGATGGAAAAACGCATAAAGGAGAGCTAGAAAACGTGGGTTGTGTTTTTGGTGGTTAAGAGAGAGATCAGTGCTCACAGGGTGCCATGACTTTGGGCTAAGAACTGCCATTTGATTGGCAGCAACTGATTAAAACTTGATGGCTCTAATTTGGCTGCCTCTGCTCTTTTAAAGACTGGCCCATCAAGAGTTCTGGGCTGAGCTCACCTCTTTCCTTCCTTTGGCTCCTTTTCCACCAGAAATGGAGTAGTGTCAGGTACTAGCCTGTTGAAATGCACCTATGTGTATGTTTGTATTTTTTGGAGCATGTCTTTTTCAAGTGGATGTCACCTTTGCCTCAGAGGCCAATGTGATGCAGCATTTTATTTCTGTAGCAATTGAAATGCAGAAATTTTACATAATTTACTGTGATTTGGCTGTAGCAATGAAGCATGTGAGGAGAATTTATATCTGTTTCCATCCTTAGTAAAAGGTGAGGTGCCTGGACTTAAACATGGGTGTTCTGTGACCTAAATCTGTTCATGCTGAAGTCAGTTGAACTTAGACCAATGCTGAGCAGTATTCTGGATATTTTTTTGCTTCCCTGTGCTTATTTTTTGTATCTTTGAATTGAACATTGTGGGGTAATCCTGCTCATGAGTAGTGTCAGATGACAAGTTTTATTGTGTTGCATTGCAGAGTGTGGTGACTTAGCAACTTTATCTTTGAGGATTTGTCAGAGGCTGAAGGGACAAGTAAGCGTTGGTGTGCAGCAATGTAGGAAATCCATTTTGGAGCTGATTGCAAGCTATTTCTTCAGGGCTGTGCAGCGGAGTCTTTAGATGAGTTTGCTTTCTTGATTTAAATGCCTATTTTCAAAAAAATTTTCATGTACTGCATTTCTCATCCTAACCTATTGTTGAAGTCTGCTGTGCACTTGTCTGCTGTTGTGCCTTTCTGCAGTAGCAACCCCTAAGGAAAATTTTGCCAAGAGATTTTTGAGAAAGAGAAAAGATTGGTTGTGTTCACAGTGTCTCATCAGAAGAAAGAGGATTTGCTTCCTGCAGAAATGGCTCCATGCCCTGGGACCCAACCATGGCCCAGAGTGCAGGAGCTCATCCCCCAGAGCCTCCCCTTGCTGGGGCAGGGAGCTGCTGAGGGAATTCCCTGCGGAGGGGCTGGAATTTCTGCTTTGTCCTGAGGCAGCAGAGGCGCTGCTGACAGCTGACCTGCCTCTT